GACATGCTGAAATATAAATCTACTTCTGTAATATTAATGCGGTGGCATAGCATTTTTTCACAAATGAATTCTTGTTGTTTTTTGATGTACATACTTGAAAAATGGACCTTAGATGTGATTTCTGATGCCAAATTGAATTTTGATATTAAATGACCTACTTTTGATATTATTTATATCATTTGACCTACTTTCTTCATTTTGTTTGGTGTAATTTCTGATGTTAAATTGAATTTTGATATTTTTTGACCTACTTTTGATATGTTTGATATCATTTGAGGTTCTTTCTTGTTGTTTGACATACAGATTTGAAATTTGGACCAGGATTGTAATTTTATGCTGATATTAATTTTGATATCAGCTGACATACTGTATTGTCTCTGTTTAACGCCCCTGGGTGTTGATTTTTTCAAAAGGAGGGAAACTGTTATTGGAACTGTTACAATGTGCTTTAAAAATGTTTATCAAAGATATAACTCAATTATAAAAATCATATTCATTATTATGATCTAATATAAAACACAGGATACTATTTTTTAATGATTTTACATCATGGAGAATCATTAATTGTTATTTAAATAAAAATAATTGGATTTTTTACTGTTCTTTTATTATTGATTATAAATCTATTAGGTAAGAGCCACAAAATGTGGTGGGGGGGCATTAATTTAGAAACAATATGGTACTTCTGATATTTTTATATCGCTTAACCTACAATGAAATTATGGGTCAGGTGAGCGATCTAGAGCCATCTTGGCCCATTTGATAATATAGACATGCCAAGGGAGAACCTCTTCTTTTGGTTTCAATTAATGGTCATTTGGGTCAAAGTTACCAATGTCAATCAAAGTGCTGCAGCACTGAATGCGACGGACATGCAACCGGAGAGACATTCAGGCTTTTTTTTAATAAAACAAAAACAAAACACAAAATATATAACAGAGAAAATTTGTTCCATACAAGTTCGAGATTTGTAGAGCAATATATTTTGTGTCCCAAACTGTTATAATTCAGATTTTCTACTTTCAAGCATTAAATACAGAATGAAATTTATGCCTAAAATCTCTGGTCAAACTTGTAAATCAGTGTCCTTATCGATTTAGAAATGATATGTAAATAGAAGAAAAAACTGACAACGAAATATTTCTAAAATAAAACCATGCAAATAAACTTCAAGCATAATACATTATACATGTGAGAATGCTATTTAGAATTGCTTCGTGTTATCATAGTGGGCATATAGACAATAAAATATAAGTCATTTGTATTGCATGTAATCCGCTGGTTTATTACATGTATAATGTGTACTAATCGCCTGTCCATAAATCAGCATAAGTAAAGCAGAATCTATTTTTAGACTAGCGAAGGTTAAACTCATATCGTGACCTAGAAATTTATTTGTAAACAAAACCACAAGAATCGGAAGTAGAACTGATATTATAACTTCCTTCAATAAAGATAACCATGAAAGACTACATGGTGGTAAAGTGTTGAAAAGCTCTCTTGTTACATGCATTTTCAAAAATAGATATTTATACTAACCATTGTACTGTATCTAATTTATTAATAACTGCTGAATATTCAGCTAAACCCGCGGTATGAGTCACGAAAATAGTTCTTCTTTTATTAATGCGCGAGTTATTCTAGAGTCACGAAAAACTTTTGATTTGTTAATATTAATGTTTTGTATAATGTAGAAATATTTATATTTCCTACTAATAATTTCTTGGAACTCAGAGCTTACACCTTTATTATAGTATAATTTGCTGTCCTACTTTTTCGACAGCGGTAAATCGTTTCGGCAGTAATTTGCATATTGCGCAATAATACTACGGGACTACAACGTTTTTATCAATCATATACGTTCATATTTTAACTTGGATAACTTAATTTGAAATTGAAAAGGCTAAATATGGAAGACATTAAGATATCCCGACAAAGTATGGGAGTTTTAAAGGATCAAATTCATGTACTATTTCTTGGGCTGTTAATCGGTTGAGGACACCTTGCGCGATTGTAGCCGACGAAATCCCATGTGTAGATGACTTAGCTCTGAACGCGCCTGAGGGCGCGTCCGTCGCAAAAATAGAATTTTACACTTTTACATGAGTAAACTTATTCTATTGACTGATATCTTTATTATTTGGTAGGAACATACAATTGAGAAATCTTCTTTCTTTGGAGGTAGTTAGGGGTAAATTGGGTCAAGGTTAATAATAAAACAGTGTAGATGTCTACTCATTTGCTTATACAGCCTTTATATTTTTCCAAAGGTTTTTAGCTCGACTATTCGCAGAATAATCGAGCTAATGCAGTCACCCATTTGTCGGCGTTGGCGTCCTTGTGGTTAAGTTTTTGCGTGTAAGCAAATATCTCCATAACTACTGAAGGGAGTGGATTGAAACTTCACACACTTGTTCTCTGTGATTATCTAACATGATTAGCACAAGTCCCATAATTGCACTCTGGTTTGCTATTTTACATAATTATGCCCTTTTTTTCGACTTAGAAATTCTTGGTTAAGTTTTTGTGTGTAAGCTGGTATCTCCATAACTACTGAAGGAAATGGATTGAAAATTCACACACTTATTCTCTGTGATTATCTCAGATGATTGGTACAAGTCCCATAACTCTGGTTTGCTTTTTCACATAATAATGCCTCTTTTTCGACTTAGAAATTCTTTATGTAAGCTGGTATCTCCATAACTACTGAAGGGAATGGATTGAACTTCACACACTTGTTCTCTGTGATTATCTTAGATAATTGGCACAAGTCCCATAACTCTGGTTTGTTTTTTCACATAATTATGCCCCTTTTTTGACTTAGAAATTTTTGATTAAGTTTTTGTGTGTAAGCTTGTATCTCCTTAACTACTGAAGGGAATGGATTAAAACTACACACACTTGTTCTCTGTGATTATCTAAGATGTTTGGCCTAAGTTCCATAACTCTGATTTGCTTTTTACATAATTATGCCCCTTTTTCGACTTAGAAATTCTTGGTTAAGTTTTTGCTTGCAAGCTGGTATCTTCATAACTATTGAAGGGAATGGATTGAAACTTCACACACTTGTTCTCTTTGAATTTCTAAGGTAATTGGCACAAGTCCCATAACTCTGATTGCTTTTTTGCATAATTATGCCCCTTTTTCGACTTAGAAATTCTTGATAAAGTTTCTGTTTGTAAGCTGGTATCTGCATAACTATTGAAGGGTTTGTGCCTTTTTTGGAACAATTTTATGCATTCAAAATAATAAAGCAATGATTAACTCGATATAACATCTTAATAACAAGCCTTTGTACATTTTTTGACGACAATTTTATGTATTCATATAGGTAAGCATTATTATACTCAATGAAACACCCTTGTGACAATTTTTAGAATACTAGTAGTCAAGCGTTACTGACTCCTCCGACAGTTCCCTTGTCCATGACTTCCTCGGATTTGTTTTATGGGACGTTTATCAAAGGTCACTAAAAGTAAGTGTTTCACTTTTTGCTATACATCCCTGTTTTATGGACAAAATGTTTTCAATATTTGGTAGGAATAATCTTGTATAGACTTTGGCTTTTGGATTGAGTTAGGGAAATCAGTGGGTCAAAGACAAGGATGCAAAAAATTGAGATTTCTACAATTTTGCCTTAAATACAGGCTTTTATTTATAGACGGATGTTTTTAATATTTTAGATGGAACATAACCTTGGATGGTCCAGTTTGGGGAGTCACAAGGTTCAAGGGTCAATTGTGCTAGCAATAGAATTTTTTTTACAATTTTTTGGTAATAACAGGCCTTTGTATTTTTTCACCAAAATCTTTAAAAGAGCTACCTATGGTGGTTTCCTTAAATTTTGAATGGAGTTTCAAAGGCCCCAAGGTTTTGCAATTTACCAATTATTCAAAATATATTTGATAAAGTTTTATTGGTAAGTTGAATATTTTTCAACTTCATCATAAGTCATACGAATGACTTGCCAACTTATATTTTTCCAATAACAAAAGGTCATAACTCTGTGACTAAGTGATATAACTGTGTTTAGATTTTTTAGGCAATTTTTCTTTCCATAACCAAGTGGGTGGGTAAACCTCTTTGAAAAATAACATTTGCTTTTTTGTGTACTGGGCCTTTGAGTTTTATTTACTTTAAAAGGAGGAAAGCACATAAAATTACGCAACTTTTGAAGTCATAGAAATGAAACAATTCCAATATAGATAAAAATATGTTTAAATTCTACATTTATTTCACTCATAAACACCATCTAAGTTACACAACATACAGTTTTAAGAATATATAAATTTTGATAAATTATAATGCAAGAATACAATGTATACGAGTATAATAAATCAAATAAATTTCTACAACACAATTCATGTATATTCACAATGAATTAAACTTAAGTATTATCATAACATATTGAACATGTATATACAAAAGTAATGTACTTGTCACAATCACGTTATTTAAGTGACTGTGTTTTTCTTTTACATTTTCTGTTTAAATATTGAATTTTATATATGAACCAGGATATTCTTTAAATAATATTCTTATTGATAGTGGTTCATATATTTACTTAACAGATTAGATATCATACACTTCAATGTTGTCATCTCCCCATCTGCTTATATACATCTTAGTCATTTGTTGATTACAACAGACTGATCTAATTTTCTTTTTTCCACTATCAGCTTTTATAACTTCTCCTATTAGCTCACCATCACATGTAAACTGTAAAACATTAATGGAGCTATGTCCAGATACCAGCACACTACCTGCTTCAGTGAGATAACAACAGTTAGCCCTCTTAATTGTTCATCATTAAAATGATGTAACAACCTGACCATTGTTTTGTCCAGTACTAACAGTCCATTAATCCAGTCAGCAACATAAATCCCTAGTAGCATCCTTACTGACAGCTATACTGTGTATGTCAGAGAACAGCTTATATGTCTGATTGATTCTTACTGAACTGATTAAGCTTTCCTACCAGACCAAAGTATAAAAAATATATACTGATGTGTCACCCATCTGAAATATATAAATTATTGTTTGCATATGCAAGACCACGACATCCAAAATCAGTTTTAATCTTGTTTGTTGTTTTCATTTTACCACTAAGAGAAATGAAATGAACTTCATTCCGATGTGGAACAGTTACTGCAACTTGTGTGTTATTGATCATACACACTTGATGTGGTCGTCCAGGTAGATCACAGCAGTCTGTGACAGTATAGTTATCACTGTGTAACCTTTTAAGCTTGTTGTTGTTGTAATCTGCAAGAATTATTGTACCATCTTCCATACAGCAGGCACTGGTAATATGACAATTTGTTGTATCAGACTTATCTTTTACATTATATAATTGATGTCCTTTAATCTGAAATAAATTAATAGAAGCCTTTGCAGGTTTTTCTGATAGTGTGCCTAGGGCCTTCATTTGTTCTAGCTGTGTAAGAATTGTTCTATCAGGTTGAAAATCTATGTCTTCTACTGTATTTTTAATTTTTGCATCTTCAATATACATGTTGGCAACATTTGCAGCATTCTCTGCCATCTTAACATGAACAAACACTTCAGCTTTATTTGTGTTTGTATATGCTAATTTATCATTAGCTGATGTAATCCTGGACTTATTTGCTTGTAGTTGTTTGAGACCTGCTTCAATCTTGTCTTCAAGACATTTGACTTTATCTTCTATCTCATCTATTGAACTTTTCTCCAGTTTGTCAAGATGATCATTGATTTCTTGTCGGAATTTTCTGATATCGGCCAGTATTTCTGCTTTCCTCTTCAGCAGCCTTTGTTTATCCTGTTTAAATCTATCAGCATGTTTAGCAAGGGTCTTGGCTATTTCCTTGAGTCTTATTTGAATTTCTCTGGATGCAAGTTGGCAAGTATTGTTTTGGATAAATTCTGGTATGTAGAATGTGTCCTTGCATAATCTGAAAAATAAGTTAAGACAGTTTGTGAATATAAGGCTATGAAATGACTGAGGAGGTAATATTAAATTTTTTTATTCTCTTCTACATATCAGTATTTACGATAGAATATTATGTATAGACTTGTAAGTACCTATTAAACATTTCATATATTTAAGTGACATTATGCCCATCCAAGAGTATATAAATATCCATCAGAATTTCCTGTAACATTCAGTTTATAAAGAGAGTGGGGCAGTCTTTTTTATATTTCTGATAGATTTATGTTTTATCCTGAACAATTTCTAATATCATTTTTGCATCAATCACCATTATTAAAGTCTATCATGTGAAATAAATAATTCAGCTCAACTTAACAATAAAAAAAATTAGCATAATGTCACTTTTATTTAAATTATTATCTATGTTTATATATTAAATTTTACCTGTGATCAACTGCCATGCATGTAGAACAGCCAACATTATCGTGGTTCTGACAGTACATATCAATGTGTTTATGACTGTGTCTGTCACATCTCTCTGTTGGTGCCCTCGGCAGAGTTTTGCTGGTTCCTGACTTAACTTGAGATTTATCCAGCACCTTGTGACCAGCACACAGAGGCACTTGATCATGTACTTGAACACAAGTTATACAGAAATAATCCTTACAGTCTACACAGTATTTTTCACCTTCAGTATTTTTCCCTTTATTTTTACACATTGAACATAAAGTATCAAATATTTCATCTGAAAGAATATCCGTATCTATTTGTTTACCAGTAGCCATTTTGTAGATATTTTATTCAATGTGTAATCTGAACTAATCTATTCACCAATAAAGCTGTCCCAATTTCGTTTCAGAGTCATTTTAAACATTATAATTTCCAGCAACACTTAATCACAGTTCTTAAGTTTTACTTAACTTATTCTTGTCTATGTATAATTATCATCCCTAATTTTTGCTTAGTTATTTGCAAAGGTTCACCCTACTAAGATTTATCTTTATCTGTTAAAATGTTGTTATAAAGTCCACATCTAACGTCCTAATTGATAAACCTTTTAGTTATTTGCAAAGGTTCACCCTACTAAGATTTATCTTTATCTGTTAAAATGTTGTTATAAAGTCCACATCTAACGTCCTAATTGATAAACCTTCTGAAAATACAGAGTGTTATGTGTTTACATAGGCTTGGTTTAACATTATGCTTTTTATAAAGCTATAAACACCCGCAAGAAAATAACCTAAACAATTTTAAGAATAAATGAGCCGCGTTGCGACCAGCATGGATCCAGACCAGCCTGTGCATCCGCCCAGTCTGATCAGGATCCATGCTGTGTGCTATCAGTTTCTCTACTTGTTATAGGGTTTGTAAGCGAACAGCATGGATCCTGATCAGACTGTGCGGATGCGCAGGCTGGTCTGGATCCATGCTGGTCACAAACCCATTATGTTGGTTTTGTCATGGCGTGGCTCAAATGTCTTTCCATGAAAAAATCATTGAACAAGAATGAAAACTGATAATGAGCAGCTCGACCACAGGTTTAAAAAAAATACTTTTATATTTTCAGTGGTTATAATTAAAGAAATGTAGCAGTAATATTTGACTTCTTATAATGCCCTATTCGTGTCTGGTTTGTGATGAAAGTACAATTGACATATTTATATAAAAATTCTTCATTCAGATGATGAAGACAAGCTCACAAAATATGCCAATTTTGTAAACTCTTTGCAATTCTTAAAAAAGATGACATAGAAAAGTAACAATGTTATTATTGACAGACTTACAAATTCTAAAGCAAGCAGCATATTTTTGTCAAAAAGAAATTTGCTTTTTTACATAATTATGCCCCTTTTTCGAAATTCTTGGTTAAGTTTTTGCTTGTAAGCTGGTATCTCCCTAACTACTGAAGGGAATGGATTGAAACTTTACACACTTGTTCTCTGTAATTATAACAGATGATTGGCACAAGTCCCATAACTCTGGTTTGCTATTTTTGGAAGGAAATTTTTAAAAAAAAAAATTCCTTTCTATAGTATCGGTCTGCCTATATTAAAAAGAACGAACAACACCTAATTGCATTCTGTTTAAGCTCAATAGAAAATAAGTAGTTAATGCGACCAAGAAAGTAGTGCAGCAGAACTATATGTATACTTTCAAACGTGGATGACTTGAAGAAAAAGCTGATGTTCAAAAAAACTTGAAATGATGATATTCAATGTTAGCTTACATCAATGGAACATAATCTTAAACGTGTACGGAAAAAAAACATCAGTATTATTACGCATTAGGCCAAAGAAAAGTTTGTGTCCATGTACCTATGTACAATAAATTGAATATAAATAAGGTGTAATTTTGTAGCAGAGATGCTGAAAAATTCACATGTAAGTCAACCGAAGGGAAATGAAAGTATTTATTGTATATATTTAGCAATTTATTGAATAGCATTTTATGCCACCGCTGATTTTTTTTTACGTCAATAAACTCAAGAGGAAACAATGGATACAATATGTGGCCTGAAAAAAGCGTACTATTTTCGCAAAAAATGGTTCGCAAACTTTCATAGAATCAAAGCGTTTGAAACAAAAATATTATTATATAAATAATAAAAAACAAGATTACAATACAAGTCTTTCAAAAGTATTCTGGAATTAACGGATGCAATTTGGTAAAACTTGGTTTTGACTAGTAGGGCACACCCGCCATTGTTCGGACCATCGACAGAATAACGTTCGTGTTTTTCAGATTTCTCCATCCAAGACATAGATTTGCTGATGAATAACATCGCAAAGGTTTGTGGAAATGCTTTTATTTCTTTGTTCAAAAATCGTTTTGTGTTTGCAGATGTTAATTTGTTAGACAAACGAAATTAGGTCAAGGATTGTTTACATTATTGAATTTACAGGTAAACTCGGCCTTATACCAACTCGGGACAGGTCAACTCGGTCCTCTATTAAAACCATAATTATATAAGGATATAGATTGTTTAGATTGTTTAGTTAATAACATATTGTTTGAAATTATCTTTAAGATAAATAATTATCTTAAGAAGAGATATCAAGACAATATATGTTAAATATTAATCAATAAATAGAGTTTTTAGATTGAATTTTTGTGACAATGAATTTTATTGTATTTAATACTGTTTGTATTTTAATATGACAAATGCCTTTTTAACGATATTTTTTACAAAAAATCTGGAGTAGCATAAAATGCGTTTAAATTGTAAATTCTTTCTTTCTCTACAAATTCACATACTTTTCAATATCCTTGAGTAGATGTCTGTTAGTGTGAAAATGTTAAACCATGAAAGTTATGATGAAAACATATCAAAAGTAAGAAAAGTAATCATTATCAGTAATATGTAATTATGGGCCGAGTTGACCCGTGCTGAGTTGGAATAGGGCCGAGCTGTCTCGAGGGCCAAGTACGTTTAAGGGCCGATCTGACCCGATTTACAGTCAACCCGGCCCCAAGTTAACCCGGCCCCAAGTCAACCCGGCCTCAAAATTGGTCAACCCGGCCCCAAGATTGGTCAATCCGGCCCCACAGTATTTTTATTTGGTCAATGCGGCCCCAAAATTGGTCAGTGCGGCCCCAAAATCGGTCATGCCGGCCCCAAAATATATATTTTCAAAGAAAACTATTCAGGTCATTTTGTATAGCTATGAAAACAAATCCTTTAAATAAGTTGGTAGTATCTTTCATGTCTTTATTCGATGTAAATTAAAGAGGGTTCCGTGAGTGTTAACACGGATTTATATTACAATGTAATGTAAATCCGTGGTGTTAATTAGGAAGAAATGCATAAAATTTCGAGTTAAAAGGTTTGTATAAATTAAGTTTCCAACAATCTTTATTTCAGTTCATTTGAATGTTTTATTGAATACGTTCATCAGTTTAATTAATATTTGTTTCGTTCTTTATTAACTTATTTTTAAAGAATATTTACTGTGTAAAAAAGTGTTGGAATATTACTGTTTGAAAAATTGATAGTGTTTTGTGTTTAATCACTTTATGTCAAATGTTATGACTGATAACTGTATGGATTGTGGATATATTGTGCGTGACAGACAGGAGGCATGCAGTGACCTGCGATACCTTTGATAGATGGCAGCATCTCTATAATGAATCTTACTTAAAAACTGTTAATGGAAACACTTTAGTGTGCTTTTCGTCATTTCTTTTTTTTTAACATACAATAACACAGTAATGATTTGAACACATTAAGGTTTCTTTTCAATGATATGTCAATAAAAAAAAGTTTAGTTTTTTCGTAATACTTCTATCGTTGAGAGGTTAAGGTTAAAGACAGACGTCAGCTTATTTTCGCGACGGTAAAAAAGTAAACTATGCATGTGTTGCTTGTTTGTTAATATTGATAGTTTTTTTATATAAAATTAATAATAAAAGATCATCATCGTTAAACTTTTGTTGTTGTTTTTTGTTGTTAATTTTATTTTTATTTCTTGATAAGTGTTTATATTTTAAAGCAAAATAAATAATAAAAAAATGAGGCCGGGTTGACCAGAAATAACATTGGTTTGGGGCCGGGTTGACCAATTTGAGGCCGGGCTGACTTGGGGCCGGGTTGACTTGTACCGATCTGACCCTGATTCCAATTTACAGTGTTGACTGTTGTGTAGGATTTGCTTTTTCATTTCTATTGTATATAGACTATCTATTAACATAGAAAATAAGTTTATAATACATTATATTTAACTGTTGTGTGCAATTGATATTCGATAACTGTATCAAAATTTATCATGGCCCTCTTTGATTTTTATTTGGCGAGGTCCGAGGACAGGCAGCCTTTCGCACAGACTGCAATTTGCAGTTGGTATAGTAATTTTTAGTGTTTGATGATCAGAAGATTTTTTCCTTCTGAAAATCATGGACTTGAATAATTCAAATCTGTGTGAAAGCGCAAAGAGAAAGAGACTGAAAATTAATTTATTATTTCTATGGACAATATTGATGCAATAAATTTGTAATAAAACATGTGGGCCA